TAGTTCTAGCCACATGTCAAGTCCTCAGTAGCTATGTGTGGTTAGCTATAGCTAGTGTATTGGTTAGCTTGGAGTATAGCACATTTTCATCATCACAGAAAGCTTTATTGTACACTGCTGTTCTGGAAGAAAACATAGGAAAAAACTCTTTGGGATTTTAGTTAGATGAAGATTTCTTAGGACACAAAAAAACATGAGCCACAAAAGAAAAAAGTTGATAAATTGAGTTTTGTCAAAATTAAAAACTTCAGATTTTTGGAAAGCTGTGCTAAGGAAATAAAAAGACAAGCCATAGACCAGGGAGAAAAAATATTTGCAAAACATATATTTGATAAAGAATTGGCAGTCAGATTATAAAAAACAAAACTTAAAATTCAGTAATAGTAAAAGAAATAAAAAGGTGAGCAAAGAAAAAGAGATTGTATAGACACTCACCAAAGAAGAGATATGGATGTCATATTATTTAAATTTTCTTATCTTCTGCAGGTATACATTGGCTCCCCCCCACCCCCCATTAAGGCTTATTGCCTGGGAAGATTTTTTTTCTTTTGTTTTCTTTGAGTTCACTGGGTGTTACTTATTTCTTTATAGATGGGGAGGTGGGACAGAGGCAGAGGGAGAAGGAATCACAAACAGGCTCCATGCCCAGCAGAGCCCAAACAGGGCTCAATCTCAGAATCCTGAGATCCTGACCTGAGTGGAAATCAGTTAAGCTGGTTGCTTAACTGACTGAGCCACCCAGGTGCCCCTCATTGGGTCTTATTTTTAAAGTGCTAATGCTCAGAAGTAAGACTGAGGAAAATAAGATGTGTGTGTGTGTGTGTGTGTGTAAGACTGAGGAAAATAAGATGTGTGTGTGTGTGTGTGTGTGTGTGTGTGTGTCTGAAAAAGCAAACACATCTCTTTTATAGTTTCTGGTATCAGTAGTGAAGGTGAAGAGAAAGCAACATACCATCTTAGGTAATCCTGTGTAGCTTTATCAGTTTTTACGATCATGTTAATGAACTGATTTTTCAGCCTGTTTGGACCATAAGAAAATGCACCTTCCTAATTGTATTCAAATCAGTTAAGCTTGTAAACAGATGGGTGATTTGCTTTTCTTATCTTAAACCTAAGCACTTGTCTCGACTCTGTGTAAGCATGTGTGGTAGGCAGAGTAACAGCCCCCTTAAAGATGTCCACATCCTATTGCCCAAACCCTGTGAATATGTTACATTATGTGGCAAAGGGATTTTGCAGATGTGATTATGTTAAGGATTTTGAAATGGGAAAATGCAACTGGCCATTTCGGGTTTTGAAGATGGGAGCAGACCACCAGTGGGGGAATGCAGGCTGCCTTTCTAAGCCAAGAAAGGCAAGGAAATGGATTCTTCCCTAAGGCCTCTAGAAGCAATGGCAGCCCTGCCAAGCCATTTTAGACCCACTGGAAGTTTGATTTGTGTTGTTTAAGCCACTAAATTTTTGCTAATTTGTTATGGCAGCGGTAGAAAGCAAATGCAGCTAGAAGACTGCTCCATTTGCAAGTTATAAAACACATTTCTTTTTTAAGTAGTGCTCAGCACACCTTCTTTTTTTTTCTTTTTTCTTTCCTTTTTTTTTTTTTTTTTTTTGAAGTCTCACTGCCAGCCCTACCGGCACCCCAGTGAGCATATCTTTTGCTCTGACCCTCCTATTCAACCCTGTGAAAAGAAACTCCGTTCCAAAAGTGTGCACATGGCCTGTGCCAAAAAGAATAAAGGTACTGTGATGCAGCCCAGACATTAGCAGTGCTTCTCAGCCTGTGGACTGTGGACAGCCTGCATCAGAATTATCTGGGGAGCAAATTAAAAATGCAAATTCTTGGATCTGACCCTTTTATCTCTCCTCCACTACCCCCCATTAGTTTTTAGAAATATTTTCAGTCAAGTTTACTGGGGTATAATTTACATATAGTACAATTTACTTCTTTTAGGTTATAGTTCTTGAATTTTGAGAAGCCTGTGTAGTCATAACTACCAACACACCAAAGATCTTTCCATTACCCAGTGTATTTCCCTAGTGTCCCTTTGTAATATATCCCCTTCCCATACCTCCTGTATCTGGCAACTGCTGATCTAATTTCTATCCCTGTAGTTTTGTTTTTCCGGAATGTCATATACATGGAAAGACACATTATGTAGCCTTTCAGTTCTGACTTCATTTGTTTAATGTAATGCTTTGGAGAGTCATCCATGTTGTCTGTATGTTCATATGTAAATGAACCATAATTCTTCGCTACCCAAAATGGCCCTAACTTCCTTCTGTTACCTAAATTGTGTTCTCTTTGTGGACAGTCTGAGAACTGCTACAGTTCCTCCACGGATTATGGAGGCAAGGTGTCTTTTAGTGTTAGACAAGGGGCTGTGGTGGAGAGAGGAGCGTTGGAGTACGCGTGAGTCTGTACGTCTTCAGGAAGACAACACCGTCACACATTATCCTGTTAAAGAATTCAAAGAGGGGAGAGATGGGGGTCACTTGTTCAGAGGGAGCAGTGGAAGATGGTTTTGAGTTATGAAGCAGGACTGTAGGAGCTAGAGGCATTACAGTTAATCATTAGTTGTAGGATTAAAGGGTCAAGTAGCAGCAAAAGGAGTAGTGACTGATTGTTCTATATGTAACTCCCTTCGGGCCACTAGATACTCCTTCTTCATTGAAAGACTCCTAATTAGCCTTGGCTCCAAAAACCTTGAGCAGATTAAGTGGAGATTTGCAAAGAATATTTTCCCTCCAGTCATTGTGTAGAATACCTTTGACAGGTACTATGCTAGGGATCCATGATATAGAAATGAACTAGTGCAGCCATGACCCTTAACAACTTTTACATTCTTTTGTGTCTCATAGAATTTTTAGCTGGTACAGGTTTTCCCCAGACAGGTGGGCAGGGAAGAAGGGGAGGCCCCAGCACCTTATCAGCAGGACTGCACCTAGCAGAGTGAAGCAGCGGCAAAGAGAAGAGAGTGGGTAAGATCACATGATCTGCCCTGGAATCCTAGGTCCCAGGTTCTAGTTGGGCCATATCACTTAACCTTTCTAAAATGATTTTTTCTTCTTTAAGATAGGGATGTATCAGGAAGGGGGAAAAAAAAAGCTTAAAACACTGGTTGATCTTTGAGTTGGAAGCTAAGGACAATGGAATTAACGTTTTTTGTTTGTTGGTTGGTTTGGTTTGGTCAAGGTAAAGGGCTAATTTAGATAGGAGTGGTTGGGGCCTGGGGGCTAAAATTGCTCTGCATGGTAAAGAAACAAGAATTTTTGTTTTTAGGGGCACCTGGGTGGCTCAGTGGGTTAAGCCTCTGCCTTTGGCTCAGGTCATGGTCTCAGGGTCCTGGAATCAAGCCCCGCATCGGGCTCCCTGCTCAAGCGGGAAGCCTGCTTCCCTTCCTCTCTCTCTGCCTGCCTCTCTGCCTACTTGTGATCTCTGTCTGTCAAATAAATAAATAAATAAATAAAATAAAATCTTTAAAAAAAAAAAAAAGTGACTCCTTAAAAAAAAAAAAAAAGAATTTTTGTTTTTAACCGAGGCTGGAGGGAATTTTTTCTTTAAGATTTTAAAAAAAAATTTTATTTGATAGACACAGCGAGAGAGGGAACACAAGCAGGGGGAATGGGAGGGAGAAGCAGGCTTCTACTGAGCAGGGAGCCTGATGCAGGGCTTGATCCCAGTACCCCAGGATCATGACCTGAGCTGAAGGCAGATGCTTAATGACTGAGCCACCCAGGTGCCCCTGGAGGGAACTTTTTTTTTTTTTAAAAGATTTTATTTATTTATTTGACAGAGGTCACAAGTAGGCAGAGAGGCAGGCGGGGCGGGGGGGGGGGCGGGGAGAAGCAGGCTCCCTGCTGAGCAGAGAGCCCAATTCGGGGCTCGATCCCAGGACCCTGAGATCATGACCTGAGCTGGAGGCAGAGGCTTAACCCACTGAGCCACCCAGGCACCCCTGGAGGGAACTTTTTAATTATGCTTTTGTTTGGTCAGGAAAGAGAGTGGGCCCTAGCAGTAGGGTAGACATGAGAAGTTGCTCCTCCAGTGGCAGAGAAGAAAGGGGTGTGGGTTTTGATGTCTGATTCTCAATTTTAAGTAGTTTCCTATTTGCTGTTAGAATCTTCCCCCCATGAAGATCTGCTTGCATGACACCCAGATGTTAATGGAGACAAGAGTAGAGCAGGCTATGTCAGCAGTGGGGGTGATGTGAAATAGAGGGGAGATGATGAGCATCAGGTTGCATTTGGGGTTTAGGATCAGGAGTGACAAGGAATCATTAGGAACTTATAAGCACCCTTCTTAGGATCCTCAGGAGTCCACCGTTATGTGAGATATGGTCTAAAATATACATTTGCATGTTAAATGACAGAGTAATTGAGAACCATGCAGATGACAGGGATAATAATCTACTGAACAGGGTTAGGAGGTGTAAATGAGAATGTAGGTTTCATAAACAGGGCACCTGGGTGGCTCAGTTGGTTAAGTGTCTGCCTTCGGCTCTGGTCATGATCCCAGGGTCCTGGGATCAACTCCCATGTCGGGCTTCCTGCTCAGCCAGGAGTCTGCTTCTCTCTCTGCCCTTCACCCTGCTCTTGCTTTCAAATAATAAAAATAAATAAAATCCTAAAAAAAAAAGAAAGCATTTCATAAACTAAGAAAACATATCATCCTCTAGAAGATAAAACATCTTTCCATGAAGAATATTTTGAAAAGTCAGATTTGAATTCAACACTGATCACAAATATGAGAATAATTATCTAGAAGTCATAAGCTGTGGTAGTTTTCTTTCTGTATAAATTCAGTTCAGATTGGTTATAATTTGGATGTTAGAGATGTTAGAGATACAGTTTTAAAAAATGACTCAATATGACCCCAACATGCCATGTTCAAACATGAGGATTTAGGATCCTACAGTAATATCTGGCCCATTTATTAGGAACAGAAAGCAGCTTTGGTCATTTAATATTTGGCTGAGATTGTGGATAGGTATGAGAAAGAAGAAGTGGTTATGTTGCAGATAAATGGGTAAGAGCATGTATTGGATATATGTATAGATACTTGACATGTTTTGTCTTTATTGCTCATTACTGCCCAAAGAAGTAAGTGGTGATGTCCATTCTTTAGATGGGGTGTGACAATTACAGTGATTAAAGGACTTGCTCAAAGTCATAGCACTGAAGTGGCAGAGCTGGTATGAAGACTCTCAACCAACTTCAAGGTCTTTGTTCCTTTCATGCCATTGTGCTGCCGTGTGGGTTCTGAAGTAAGTTACTGCTTAGCCCCCAAGCCTTTTGTGCTTTTGGGCTCCTTGTCCCAGTTTCGTACCAAATCTCAATTGTTGTTCTTCTGGAGAACTTTTACAGAAATCTTCTGACAAGACTTGGAGATGCTGTAGCTGACAAGCATATGAAAAAGGATTAAATAACTTGAGTTCTGGAGTGAACAGTTAAATCCCTGAATTGTTGAAAGTTCCATTCTTGACCTGGGACTAACCATTTTTTGTGAGGTAATTACAGAAATGCTGGCGAACTCTTTCCATTAGTGGTTCTTGCATACAATATGCACTTCTTATGTTGTGGGGGCTCTTTTTCTTGTTGTTGTTGTTCACAATTCACCTTAGGGGTTTTCTCAAACTCTGCATTCTTATTCTATAGTGGTTTTTAGCTTTCTTTTTTCTTTCCAGACTGGGTGGATGATGCAGTTTCACTTCTAGGTGTTAGGATTCTCTTTCACACTGGTTTGTCATGACCTTAATGTATTTTAAGCTTCTCCTTTAGTAAATTTTTCTTTTTAAAATGTGGTACCCCTAGTAAGCTAGAGATTTGTTTTACCAAATGAGTTTAAAATACCAGCGCCTGGAGAACCCATAGTCAATAAGCATTGTTGGAAGTTGACCACATGTCAAAACCCACTAGGGATCAACCTTTTCATTTTCTTTATTTTGGCAGGTTTTGGGGTCCAGACTTAAAGGCTAGTTATGGTTCTGAATTGCCTTTAGGTTGCAAGAATTACCAATGTGGTATATAATGCCAAAGAAGAAAAAAAAAGTTACAATAATCATAATTGTCTTAATTTATAATTGCCATCATAGCTCTCCCCTGTAGGTAACCGATGAGGCCTAATAGTCGTTTTGAGCTGCAGCCACCCACAAAAACCACACACATGGCATTTTACTCAAAACTTTACTTAAACCACTACTTTGTGATGCAAAACTGGTGGAATTTTGGGTACTTTCTGTAAAATTGAAATCTTTATGGGGGTTTTCCAACACTCTAGTTGATTGTTAGCAAATTATCAGTATACTGAGCAAGAGCAGAGTGGGGTTTGCTAATAAACACCTACTTCTGTGGTAGGATAGGATGCCAGTCACCTATATCTGAATGTTTTCACTAGGAGGAAGCCACCTTCATTGAGAGAATAGAGTCTCCTGTTGAAAAACGCAGTTAAGAAGTACTGTATGAGATTGGTAATTGTAAAAGAGATTTTAGGAGCTGCTCATCTTTGCCACAGTTTTCATTCTTGACAAAGTCTTCACATTCAGTGCTTTCTAATTTGTAGATCCCTTATAAAAGTAGATTTGTAAAAAAAAAAAAAAACAAAAAAAAACAAATCAGTTTGCATCTTAGAACAAAGTGGTATTCTCCCTAAGAACTTTCTGTGAAGGGAGAACTGTTGTAGGAAACTGATTTCTCCTGAGATATCACAGCCCCATTCTGGAAGACCGGTAGCAAGTGGGAAGAATGCTCTCTGGATTTGGCTAAGTCAGGAGACCTTGTTTATTCTGGAACTGAGTCCTTAGGCCATTTGCTTTGCCTCTCTAAGTCTCAATTTCTTTTTTTCCTCCCTTTTTTCCTTAAGGTAATCTCTATCCCCAACGTGGGGCTCGAACTCATGACCCAGAGATCACAGGTCACATGCTCTACTGCCAGAGCCAGCCAAGCACCCCTCTAAGTCTTAATGTCTTATCTTTGAAATTAGTTTCACTCCTGCTGTATGGTTTGGTAGATACAGCATATTGTCTCAAGAGCCTTCTGTAGGAGCCCTTTGTAATATCCTGTCTTATATAAAAGTGACTTTTATGGTCATATAATTTATAACTTCTATCGGGCACCTATTTTGTTCTTTAAAATCTGTAAAAACATTATTTTAGCAAAAACTAGCTCTACTTCTAGAAGTCTGTATTTATGTCCCTTTTGTATTTTTTTGAAGGAGTAAATTTCCATCTATGCAGCCCAGAAGTCAGCCTTAAAATAACTGTCAAAAACTTCCAGGCTATTTCTCATTCATGCATTATCATACTCAGTAGGAGGATAGTAGACCATCCTCAGTAGGAGGATAGAGAAGTCTAGAATTGGATTTTTAACAGGTTAATTCCTTAGTTTACTGTGAAGATCTTGATAATTTCCCACTAGCACATAAGTAAAGCTTCGTTTAGTTTGCTCTACTGCATAGACTGTGTTGGTTAGCTTCCAGAAATAAAGTATGCTTGCTATATAATTTATGTTAGGAAATATTTAAACAGGATGAAAGAGCAGTTTTTACAGGACCCAAATCAAGCAATCCATTTTCAGAAAGTACAACCAAATAAAAAAAATTGGCTGAGTGCAGAACAATGAATAAGAAGCATGAACTTGGAAACAAACCAATTAAGTTGAATCAAATTTTTAAAGAATGAAATAAAAGAAGTTGTATTTTGTATGTGTGTGGGGTGACTAGAGACAGATGTAGTACTAAGAAAAAATTGTACGGGATGAAATAGCATTTAAAGCTTTAGGACCCAGTGAAGAGTAGAAGAGGAAAAGAAGGTTTATCAGTACACAGGTTTATATACAGAAGTATGTGTGCTGCCGAAGCGAGCACGAGGTTTATATACAGAAGAAGCAAAGGGTAGGATATTATAAATGTTAGAAAAGTGGAATGGAATTCCCCAGATCCTTTGATTTAACAAATGGTTTAGTTAAGGAATTTGGTAAAATCTTGAAATTTGGATTGGTGCTACAGCAAACTTTTAAAATTAAATAAAGCCAGAAAGACTTTCTTGCATATTAGCACTCTATTACCACGTCTTTTACTTAGCCTGATACCAGGCAGCTTTGAAGGTGATGTGGACGTCCACCCTTGAAATAGAAGTGTTTGAAAAAGCATTGTCTGGAGAAAGGTGAAATCACAATTACACATCAAAGGCTATAGAAGTTTTAACTTCAGATTTTATGTTTCAATTATACAAGCTTTGTGTTCACACCCAAACTCCAAGAGTAGGATCTGCCACATACAGGGTGGAGTGGCATTCCAATTCCATTTATTTTCTGCTGAAGCTGGCAAATTGAATGAAGATTTCTATCTTAGGTGACAGGATTCAGATGAAACATGACAAACTTGTAAACGCTGCAACCCGGACATGTCCGTGCACAACTCTCCAGTGAGCTGGATGGGAATGGGGAGACAAACCACACATACTGCCACACTGTGCCGGGCAGCATGAGCTCAAAGAGAAACCCGAGGAGGAGCAAGTTCCTGCTGGCTCAGGCGCAGGTGGGGGGCTTCAGCCGAGACTGCACTCGTGTTCCCAGGTTCAAGTCTGTGTCTATCTTGGGCCTGCCTTATTACGGAAACATTTTGTGGAGATACACTGCATTGACTGGAAAATTATTCTTTTTTTTTAGTTATCAAATTTATAATGTAGAAGCATTGGTTACGAAACTAGTCATTTAACTGGAACTCAATCCTGACCTAGTTCCCAACATTGGGTGGTAATTATGCGTATTTACCAAAGCACAGAGAGAATTAGCGTTAAAAGAGCAAATGGGCGGGCAGGAGGGCATTGCTTTGAGGAGGGAACAAGTTTTACTACCTTTGGATAGACGAGTTAGCTCTGTGAAATATTTCTGACTGTCTTGCGGAAGGCCTCCAACCACTGGACACGAAGGAAAACAACCGGCAACTGTTTTATTTGCAGACAGCAAGTGAGAGCCCCCCAGTGCTGGGAAAGCCCAGGCGGCCAGAGCCTCAGCAGAGTCCACCCTGACTTTCCCTCGGCAGGCCCTGGTGCTCACTGCTCGGGACAGTGTGCTGGGCAGCCACTCGTCTAGAAGAACGAATGAATGAACATCGTATTAAACACTCCCTGATATTTGTTGAAGTAGATCTCCTCAGCGTTCTTGCTAATCAGGTAAGCATTTTCTGAATGAATCTGGTAACCAAACCAGGTGCACTTTAAATTGGCCCCAAAGAAAATAAGTCATTGGAACAGCTGTTAAGACACAAAGAAATGCCGAACTGAAAGCCACTAGTCCGCCACTGTATATTGTTCTGCATCATTAAATATTTATTTTCATATATGCATTTACAAACTTTACTCACTTCAGAACTCTGCTTTCAGTACATTTTAAACTTTTTTTTTTGGCAGAGAGATTCTCTTGTAAAATGAGATCCATGTACAAAACTAGGCAACAGATATAAAAGTTTCCTTTCATACTTTTCATCCATCAAGGAAAGAAATCATGTGACAAGGAAATAAAACCAAAATGTGGCTCTTTCACAAGAATAACATGTCAGTGTTCAACTATGAGTTCTAATGGGATAGCTCATATTTCATCTTTATATGGATGTATATAGTTTAAATACTTAGCTACTGTAGCATGTTGGTTCGGAGGAAGAAAAAAAATCAACTCTACTGTTTGGACTAGATAATCTAGACACCATCAATTATTCATTTCTTTATCCTGTGACACCAAAATTCACCTTGGAGACGACACTGATTGGCCAGCAGTATGCATTTATTCCAAATGTTGCATGAAAATTTACCTTTCAAAAATTCATTAACTTCACAAGCTAAAGTCTGAGCTTCTAATTTAGCTCTCTTAAAGTTTAAATGATCAGTTCAGAAGCTTAAAATTATCTTTGAAACTAAAGTTGCTTTTCTTAAGATGAATGCTGACTTGGAGCACTGTCACTATCAGAGGCGCTAATGCCACTAGCAACGAGAACAGTATCACCACAGATGAGTACATGGTACGAAATGCCCAGGGGCTGGAAACGCTCTAGTCCTAGGATTGTGGCAGCAGCATCGTTTGATATTTAACCATGTATTACACAGTATTCACACACCGGCTTCAAAGACGCGCGCTCCCTTCGGACACTCAGGAGTTACAAATTCATTGTGATTGCATAATTCGTATTGCACAGTTTTATAAAAAACATAAATACTGGCTATTCTAGTTTTAAATACAAAATACAGGTTGTATACTTTAAATCTATAATCTGGTTCAAGTGCAAATCAGGTGCTTTCTTTAGTCCTTCCAAAAAAGGCATTTTTAATATTTTTGGCACAAATGAAATTTCATCATGCCAACAATTCTAATTACAATACGTATATCCAAACCTTTAGAGTAGCAATCATATACATACAGTATAAAACTGATTATTTACAAATGTACTAGGGATTAATGTCATCTTTGTGGGTGAATCAGAACTAAGTAGCCATACCCACACTAATAATAATTATAAAAGTTACAGGAGTTTCCTTTATTTCATTTGCTTATGCTGGTTGCTGTGGGTTGACATTCATATGAGGAGGATGTCCTAGAAGACCAATTCTTTGTTTCTGCTTCCTTTGTTCTGTCATCTGGAAAGTTAAAAAGTTTCATCATTAGACCCAGACACTTCCTGTACGTCAGATCATATACTGAACCATAGATTTACCTCTGTGGTTATGGTTTATACTGAAACCCACTTTCTACAAATAGTGTACCGTCACTAAATCAAACACTCAGAACTTCAAAAGGGACATCTTCCTAGGCAGAATGGGGAATTCGGTGACCTAGTCATGCAATGTGGCATTCAGAAGTATTGCTTACTATTTGTTTCATAAAGAAACAAAAAACAATAAAAGCACAGGATTCTTGATTGTTTCCCAAATCCATTTCCAAATGATTTAAAGGCTCATTGGAAATGGTGGCTTTGTGTGGTGGGAACAGCATACCAAACTATCAAGAGAAGCAGTGTGTTTAGAATCCTAGGTTTGAGAGGGACTATGTCCATGGTCTTCAGGGGGTCTTGATTCCGTTTCTCAGTGATTCCAGAGTAATTTTGAGAGGTTTGAGAGGAAAAAAAAAAAATGATGTAGCACCTTGAGGAAAATGAGGAATGTCCTCACATGCCAGTGAGATCCAGAGTGACTAAATGTTATAAACAATGCTCTAGGCACTCAGTGGGGTCTGTTCTTTGCCATCCACAGACACAGGACTGATTAAGGTCAGGAAAGACCATTTCCCAAAAGTGGTCAAATGAAAAAGTGCTTGCAAAACCCCAAATAAGAGGTTGTTACTATTCATTTGGCTGCTGAACCAAATCATTTTTCATATTGATGGGTAGGTAGCTCTGTTCTAGATATTTTAGGGTACATTTAATGTTCCACATTATTATTTTTCTTAACCAGTTGGTCCTAGCTCTGGATTTGATGCTGGGCATTTAAGCCAATTAAGATAAAAAGGCTATAATGAAATATACGTTAGATAAAATTGCTGTCTACAAGTGGTGTTAGGTCCTGCATGTAGATTTTTGGTTTCCTAAAATCAGACAAGAATTAGTGTATCCTGGTAAAAAGAACGTGCACCTTGGAATCAGACCCATTTCCTTATGGTTCTGTGTTATTTAGCTTCTCAGAGTCTGTTTCCTCACTCACACAATTAGGATGATAATTCCTATCTCATAGGTGGAGAATTGAACAGATATATGTAAACTTTTTGGGAGAGTGTCACATAGTGGTTGCTTAAGTCTCACTTTTCCCTTGGACTAATTTTTGGTACAAAATATCCTGAGAGAACATAAAACAAGAATAGCTTACCTAGGTTCAGTTTTAAAGTTGTTACTTGCTCAAAACATGGCAGTTTTCTTTTAAATCAACATACTATTTTTAGGCTCCTGTGAAATGCCTTCTGTTATAAATTAGAAGAGAATTTACAAGGAGTATTTCCAAAAGGTAGCTTTTTATAAAGAATTAGGATATTCCAGCTAGCCTCTGAAGTTTCCTTAGATGAATGACAGTCTTTTAAGTAAGTGTTACACACTACACTATACTTAACAGATTCAGCTGAGAAAAGAGAACCTAATTTGACATGTGGGATAAATGCACAATTAGATTAAAATATAATCTGTATTCATTAATCTTACTACCTAATACTTTGGATACTTCACTCAGATCCTCCTCCCTTCCCCAACTGACAGACACATGGATGGACACACACACGCACACACAAACACACTCTCTCTTCCCTTGGCAGCTAACCCTGAGAGGGAATCTAACAAAACTTCACAAAGTTTAACAATCTCAAGCATTCTAATGGATTTAGGAATCCTGGGGGGGCTCAACCACTATTGAAGGCTACTTTATTTAGGCACTTTCATTTAAAGTTACTGAGGTCTTTCAACTGTCAAAGTTGGCTATTAAACCCTTTGCTGTAATTTTTCTATAAATTACTACTTCCATTTGAGATGACCTTTTATGTTTGCATATGTTCATGCCTGTTGGTTCAGTCCGCTTTTAACTTTCAATCTGTTGGCTATTCAGTCATTCTCTTAAACAGAAAAGCCTCTACACTGTATTTCCTATAACACACGAGTCTTTAGCTGATGGCACACCTCCCTTCCCAATTCTGCAGCCATCACCTGACAACTCATTGCTGCTCCTATTTTAACTTTCTGGGTTTGCCTTTCTAAGATAATGATCACATCACTGGCCCTCCTTCCTAAACCTTCAAACTCCCTACTGATGTAGGTTAGTGGCCAAATTCTTTGCTCAGGCAGTCTTATTCCTGGTGATTTCAAGTACCCAGTATATACCTAATTTTGTTTTCTCTTTCCATAGAATAGTAGTTCTTCAACTTTGGCATAAGCCAGAATCACACAGAAGGTATGTTAAAACAGATCAAAGGGCCCACAAACAGAGTTTCTGATTCAGTAGGCCTGGGGTAGGGCCCATGAATTTGCATTTCTAACAAGTAACAAGTAAGGTTTATGTTGTAGATCTGGGACCACACTGCTGCTCTAGAAGAACTTTTCACGGATTCTCTCTGAAATGGGTCAAAGATCACATCAGGTGATCTTGAACACAAAGTAATTTGGGTACGTACATCATTTTTCTCTAATAATATTAAGATCTTGGAGAAGATTCTCTATAGCTGAGCACAGCAGAGGCGCACACATTTGTCTGAATTCTGTTTTCACGAACCCTGGCCTTTTAGACAGAATAGCTGTCAAGTAAGTGACTAATAAATGAGAGGGAATAGGGCAACTGCTAAAGGATTGAGCCCTTTTGACAGTGGTCATCATCTAATTATCATTATAAGGGAACAAAAATAAAAGCCCTAAGGCTTAAATCTGGCCTGTGCAAAACTAAGGTCAACACTGCTGGCTGGTTAGGTTTCACTGGCCTCTAGTGCACAGCCTCACATAACTTCTGGCTTTATGGGCTCAATTCTACCTACTTACCTATTTACATAATTCACACACAAACTGTATAAAATGTGTGTGTGTGTATAAATTTAAAGTGCATTAACTGTTGCTGTTACCTTTATCAAAGTACATAGAAATAATGACTAAAGTGAATCTTCATATTCTAATGCAGTATTCACTCTGGACATTTGAAACAAAACGACTCAAAAAGATCCATCAGATTCTGATCTAAGGTAACTATATTCAAAATATGAATACTGAAAAATCTATTTTGAATAGTGTGAAATGTCTCATTCGTAGGAGATTCATTTAAAATCCTCATAATTCCCATTTAGCTAAAGGATAAACATTTAAAGCAGTACTCTTCTTCCTATGCATATGAATATAAAAACTAGCTTGAATGTTAGCATTCCTTCTTTTGACTCAGTCTAAACAAGAAGCAAAAAATATTGTAGCTTTACAAATCAGAGGCAGCCAAACGTCGGAAAGATCTTTCATGAAAACACTAAGGGTAGAGAGCAAATGAGCACATTTCACCTCCCAGAACTGGCCTCGATGACAGAAGGCTGGCAAAGGAAGGACCGTTCAGTAGCAGCACACGGATGCCACAATCTGGTTTCTAACGGGTCAACAGTCCGAAAAACTGCTTTCCTGTCACAGCAAGGTCTTGGTTACTCAGATTCTAAACAGCCGGGGAACTCTAAAATCAGCCATGTTCCTAACAAGGAGTCTAAAATACTAAGAAAAAATCCCAGCACAACTCTCAGACACACTTACGTTGATTTAATGTCAACGTACAGATACTTGTTCACGCACTGAGTTGATCCCTAATACTCTGTCCCTCTCTCTAGCTCTGGCAGTGCACCTCTGAGGCTTCTGTGGCCTGACTCTCTCCCAGAGATCAGGCTGACTAAACTGCTTTCCTCCTTTTCCAGTCTGTTCATGCCTCCATTACATACTTACGGGGCTGAATTCTCAGCAGTTTACTGATTTGTTTCCCATTCTAGACTGTTGGGTATAGAAGAACAGGTTCTGTTCATCTTTGTAACCCAGTACTGAGGGCTGCACCTTGCACATCTATTTCACAAGTGGTGGTTCAAAGAATGAACTGAATTAACCAGAACATAGTGCCATTCCTGGAGCATGCCATGCGTTTTCATGCCTTTGCTCATGCTGATTCCTTTCCTGGGATGCCCCCCCTGCTGCATTCCTCTGCCAGCTCAGAAGTCACCTACTTGTACAGGCTCTACTCCTTCCTCACTCCCAGCCACACACAGGACCCAGTGCCGCCTCTGTGCTCCCATCAAGCTGTCTTCCTATCTCGAGTGGGTTGTACAATTTTCCACACTGTATCATACCGTCAGAGGTCTGTATGCCTGTCTTTCTTGCTAGATTATGGGACCCTAGAGGGCAGTGGTTATCTTAGTCCCCCTTTGAGGTTCCAGAACAGGGTAGGGGACAGAGGCACTCAGTAAGGTTTAACATTCAATTTTCTAACTGTAAGGCAATTATTCTAATCCTTTGTTATTCCTCCCTCTCTTAAGCAGTTAATGTTTACAAGATAACCATCTTGCATGAAAAGTGCCAAACACTGGGACATGCTAATGTGATCTGGATTTTCAAACACTTTTGTATTCCTAACAGCATGTAAGGGTTACTGTCTCATAGGAAGCCAGTCACATTTTCAGTAAAGTGAAGCCTCTTCGATATTTGCTCTTTTGCGTTATGAAGAAAACATGCAAAAAAAAAAAAAAAAAAATGTAGGTTCTTACATCAGTTCTCCTCCTTGGAATAAGAATGTAAGAGAATCACATTTAGTATTCAGAATCTCTTGGGAGGGGAAACTTCAATATGAGATTCATCATTAACAGAATAGCAATTCTAATCAACTGTTCTTGGCAATAGTAGGAAAAGTGACACCACCAACCAGGTTTTTAACTTCTAACCTTGACAAGAACTTTTTCTCCTCAAATTGGTATTTTAAGAAAACCACTACCAAAGAGGTCAATAGCAGTACAAATTAAAACCAAAGACATTCACATTTATAAACTATTATTGCTCTATTCTGCTTTTTTGGACCAGAAGATTGAAAAAATAGCTCAGTGATGAAGCAATTTATGTGTTTCCCAGCACTTTTACCAGTGAATAGTATTCTTTCATAGCAGTTTTAAAAAATATCTATCACAGAGTTTCTTGCTCATTAATCATTTGTAGGCTTTTATTTTTTAATTCAAAAAGTTTTTTTTCTTCAGAGGGCAGGAATTCTTACAATTGCCATTTAAGAACCAGCAACTCTCTACCATATCTGCATGATTTCTTATGCAGAACAATTCAAGAAATTTTTATGATTGCTATTACACCAAATTTAGTAAAACTGAAAAATTTTTAGTAAGTTGATCCTTAAACAAATGGCCTTAAAGGTTTGTTAAAGGTTACATAATCAGAAAAAATGCTAATTCCTTTTGAAAGAAACACATTTCCCCCAATAAAAGGAGCTGTGCTGAGTTTTTCCTGGGCACCTTAAAACCTAAGCAGATCAATCCTGGTAAAGGCACTTGAGATTATATTACTGGTTTCCTGGTACTTCTTTTTAGCTTATAGTGTCTTCCAAGATAAAATGGTTCATATTCATTCACAGGGGAAGGGCTTTTGGTCCAACTACTAACGTTAAGACAAAAAATGTAGAAAGGGCCCAAACCAAGCAGTTTAAACCATACTGGCTTTAATGTCACTTAATGAACCCTAGTCTCTACGCAATGAATATTTACATATTTTGTTTAAGCTGAAATTGAGGCTTAACGGGAACAGTTCTACCTTGGATTTTAACAATGCCAAGTTTCTACTACGTACAGCTGTGTAACATGGCCGTGAAGGTATCCTCCACAGCGTTCAAGTGTGGGAGGCAACCTCGGAAACTTTAAGGCTCTTTAAAAAAAAATGAGTAAGAATTTAAACAGCCAATCTGAAAGGCAAACCAAGGTACAGTGACAAAACAAATGAAAACAAAAATACGTACGACAAACAAAAAATCAAACCCACACAGGAGGATCAGGCACTGTCCTACAGAGTTGGAGAAGCTTTCCAGGAGCCTTTCGTGCACCTCAGTGCTCTCATCAGTACAAAGAGGGAATGAAGAGGGAGGACCTCTGTGGTCTCAGATGCCCTCCTTCACCTCGGATGCCTTCTGCAAATTCCTCAACTCACCTCACTCCTGTGACCATTTTAACGAGAGCTCAACAGTTCCTTTAGTGAAGTCTGTCTTAGATCATTTCTGGAAGGTTTTTTAAAACCTCCGATTTAACTAAGATTCTTGTGGGTTGTTCACATTTGGTGGCCACCAAGTCAAGCGCTAGAGACAGCCTTCATAAATAAGCCTTTCTGTTATCATTGGTCTTTTTTGTTTGCATCTTAATAAAAGTCAAAGAAAAGAACTTTGAGACCAAATGGTGTATGTGGGGGTATGGCTTGGAATAATTCAGTTGGGAAAGATAATTCAAAGTAGGATCGTTAAAATTGCTCTGAAGACCACTGCCAAGAAGAGTTTATTCTGCACGGGGTGTTCACTAGCTGTGTACCTATGAGTAAAAAATCACCTGTAGGTCTGCCTTGCCACTACCTCCAGGGCAGCCTTGCCTGACAACTTTTGCCATGCACAATTTATAATCTTGTCTGTGGAGCTGATTAAAACACTCAGAAACCCATCCAGGATGCTGACCTGTTCCCACGTCTGTGCCGATTATCCCGTCAGCTTTGGTACAGCAGTCGCTCACTGCCCCCCATCCCCCCCACAGCATCCTGTCACTGCAATAACTACCCAGTGACTGTTCATTGTAAGGGGATCAAAAGGAAGAAAAAAAGTACATAGAGTTTGGTATGAATCTACCCCCTCCTTAACTTCCTTTAAGTGGCAAGTGTTTACCTTAGGGATAGAGAGCAGGATGGAGCGGTACTTGGGCAGACAATTAAGCTCTGTGGGAGCAGGGTTAGGTCTAGATTGTGGGTTCATCCCCAGCAGCTGGCATAATGCCTGGACTACGATGGCCACTCAGTACAGATTTGGCCAATGAATGAACCAAAAGGAGTTTTCGCACAAGTATGGCTTATCCTGGGATTTAAGTATCTTGGGTGAAGAGTTGATAGATTTGAGGGCCAGAAAGCAAAACCAGAAAGAGCTTTTAATCTGTAAGTAAAGTAAAAAGAGTACAGCTTTACAGGTCCTGTTTTCTGTACAGCGTTTCACTGAAGTCATTTGCATTCTCCCATTTTCTGGTTTTGTTATAATACTAGCAGCACTGAAAGTAGTGTTATGGGCTTATCCTATAAAAGGGCAGTGAAGGGGACTGGAGGGGAAATGGGGAGACTAGGTGACTTTGTTCTCTGTGCCCTGGGTTCCTTTTCTACATCCACGTGAGGGAAACGTCCGCATCTTAACATGAGCACTAGTGATTTTGCCTCAGCAAGTCTGGTGTGTCTGGTAGTGGTGTGTGTGTGGTTAGGTGGCAGATGGGGTATCTTTTCTTTACCTGATCCTTTAATTCTGACAGCTGGCCGGAAAGGTTAGTGACCAGCTTCATGGTGGACTCCAGCTTCTCCTGCAGGTTCCTCAGCTCATTCTGCTCTCCTTCAGAGTCACTGCTGACCAAGGACATGGCTCTCATCCTGGGGAACCAGTCAAGGTTTCTTTCCTAGAATCCACATTAAAAAAAAGAAAAAAAGTCATTTCTTGAAATAGAGACAAGAAAGGCAATCCCACCATGCTATCTTTTCTTTGTGACATCTTTCATAAGGCTATCTCTGTTGTTACTGAAGTGATGTGCCATGCCTTTTAAAAAACCATTTAGTGAATATCTTTTTTTTTTAAGTGAATGTCTTTTTAAATTGAGTATCTTTTTTTTTAAAGATTTTATTTGTCAGAGAGAGAGAGCACACACGCTGGAGGAGCGGCAGGCAGAGGGAGAAGCAGGCTCCCCACTGAGCAAGGAGCCTGATGTGGGACTCGATCCCGGAACCCTGGGATCATGACCTGAGCGGAAGGCAGACGCTTAACCAGCTCAGCCACGTAGGTGCCCCTTAATTGAGTATTACTGAATTCTCTCAATTCTTAGAAATCACTTTTGACCTAAATATGGTGCCTGGTGAGGGATTGGGGGAGTGCACACCTGGGTGGCTCTGGCAGTTAAGATTCTGCCTCTTGTTTTCCACTTAGGTCATGATCCTTGGGTCATAAGACTGAGTCCCATGTTAGGCTCTGTGCTCAGCGAAGAGCCTACTTGAGATTCCCCCCCACCCCCAACTCAGGTGCTTTCTCTCTCAAAAATAAATACATAAAATCTTAAAAAAACAAACAAAAAACTAAATACAGGGAAAAAGGTAGGTTTTTGAACAACTTCCTTAATCTATAAATAGGAATGCAGCCACTGCATTACATGGCTAATGAGTGGTGGGTGGTAAAATATATAGAACATAAAATTTTCCATTGAAGTCGCTTTTAGCTGTACATTTCGGCGGCACGAAGTGCAGTCACACTGTTGTGTAACCATTGCCACCCTCTACTCCTCGGGAACTTTGTTCATCTTCCCCATCTGAAACTCCATCCCCATTCAACACTAACTCTCTCACCCCTGCCAACCACCATTCTATTTGCTGTCTCTATGAATCCGACTGCTCTAGATACCTCTTACTGTGCTGTGTATTTTTAAAAAGCATTATACTTGGAAAATCATTTGCAACACTCTGGAAGTGAAATGAATTTTGAGATCCCAAGTGTTCAGGAATTTACCGGATATGCGTATGTGTGCTTTCACTTGGTAGGGGATGATCAGGAGGCTGAAAATGGGGAATGGGCTTCTTGTTCAGTTTCCCTCATTGTCAGCTTTTGGAAATACTGCTCTATTCTTGTTTCCTTTTCCTTCCAGTTTGACATCGTTGATAGGTGCCATCGGTTGGTATAAGAAAGGCCCATTCAGTCTCCATCCTTTCTTTTGATATCTATAGCTTATACCTGAAAATAGTTTTTCTCACCACTGGTTAACCAATGGGCCAAGACTCCTCTTCCTATCTTTCTTTCTTGTGCCCACAAATGCCTTTTTCCTAAAAAGTATGCATCGTGTATAAGTTCTGTACAGGGAGGCAGGAATGAACAGTAAAAGCTAATCAGCACAAGATAAGGGGGAAAGTGGACTCAAGTCCACATCTGTCTGGTGTCATTTCTGACTGGGACCATTTTGATCTCCTCAAAATCAACCATAATTGACATTCTAACACAAATCTTGCCCATCCCCTTACCCCCTGCCAGTATGCCAGTACACTCCCCCCACACTATATTGCTACTTTATATACACCAGAGGTCAACAAAATTTTTCTGTACAGTAAATATTTTCTGATAGTAAATATCTTTGGCTTTGTGGACCATATGGTCTGTCACAATGACTCTGCTACTATAACCTGAAAACAGCCACAGGCAATACATGAATGAGTGTAGCTGTGTTCCAATAAAACTTTATTTACAAATGCTGGTGGCAGCAGGCTGGGTTTGGCCCATAGGCTAGAGTTTTGCCAACCTCTGTCATATAATAGAAGGCATCAACATAATTAGAGTCAGATACAGAATCCCACAAGACATGTCTAAATGTTAAAAAGCAACCAAGACAGTCTAGCAATATTGAAGCCAAATGAGAACTAGTTGAAATTGAAAAATATTATGGGGGTGCCTGGGTGGCTCAGTCATTAAGCATTTGCCGTTGGCTCAGGTCAGGATCCCAGAGTCCCGGGATCGAGCCCTGCTTCAGGCTCCCTACTCAGTGGGAAGCCTTCTCCCTCTCACGGTCCCCCTGTTTATGTTCCCTCTCTGGCTCTGTCAAATAAATAAAATTAAAAAAAAAAAAAATTACACAAAGAAGGCAGACCACACTGGCAATGCGACATCACACCTACTTTAGAGTGTTGGCTTAAAATATCTGGGGAATCTGTAAGTAAGAACTCACTAGCCCTTCAGCATCATGAGTGCAGAAACCACCTTAGTGTAGTAACCAGAACACGGCAGACACTTGCTAAGTATTTGTGGAAGGGAGGAATGATAAACCATCTCTATTTCCTGCATGAGCCCTCAGAGAAAATGATTAAATGGTGAACCTCAGTTGCTTAGAATAACTGCCGGAGGAGAAAATGATGATCTCTACCTTCCTGTACCAAATCCCCTGTGATCAGCACTTCACATGTGTTAGCCCATATTCATTTTGACCAATTTCCCACCGCAGTGCAATGGGCAAAAACACCATTCAATAAAATATCCCATTTCAAAGATGACCAACCTAAAAATCTAAGGTGTTTCCATGTCTGTCGTCCGTTTTCTGCTGAGTGTCTACAGCAAAGCAGAGGAGGAGAATAGACATTTGAAAACATTTAGCTTGGTGTTGCCACTGAAAGGCAGCTAAGGTAACCTGTCACTGATTATATTCACTGCACTTGAATCAGTCCTTCAGATACAGTAACACCTTCCCACTGAAGAAACATCCCTTGTTCAGTGTCTGTCCAAATCTAAGGGAGGAATGAATCGAACTGTTCAGAAGAGGTCACCTACAGGGGACGGGTGGCTGGGGGTTACTTACTCGCACTGGGGCGAAGCAGCCCATGTTGGGCCGAGAGAGGGTGTGGGCCGGGCTGATGAAACTGTGAGCCCTGCATTTGCAAAGCACAAATGCACTAGGATCACAGAGCACGAGACCAGCCCGGCAGTGAGAGACCTCACCTGTCCGCAGGCACTGCTCTCAATTTTTGCAGACTGACAGCCCCCCCCACCCCCACCGCCAGGAGAACAACTTGAATAAATAAGATCCAGCATCCTATTTGCACTGTACAACTCGGAAGAGCAGAGAGACACACCATCGATTGGGACATGACAGAAGGTCATGCCAAGAAGGAGTTCAGAGATCATCGTCACAGTTGTACCTGTGGTGCAGAAAACTGAGCTCTGAAAGGGAAAGTCACTTGTCCTGGGTGGGGGGGGGAGGAACCTAACAAATTCTCTTGTTTCACAGGGGGGCCCCCCAAAATATGTGGTGCTGATGAATTATAAACTGCTATTATTGAGTCTGTTTTGGGGTGAAATATTTGCTAGTTCTTTGGATTCAAATAAAAAGTATAAGCATTATTTTAGTTCCCTGGAAGGAAATATTTTTAAAAACATAACATATATTCAACATCTGCTGCAGGGGCACTCCTTGTGTGCATGGTGCTGAGGATCCAGCAGGGAGCCAGCCAGCCAGCCCCCCCCCCCCACACACACATACTGCCTCCTGGACCTCTTTCAACTGGAAATGGCTTTCAAACCCAAGTATGAGATAGGGTTCCTGCCGTCACAGCACCTGTTGTTAATGAGTGGACAGACATTAAAAAAGGAGAAAAATGCTATAAAGCAGGTTCTACTCTGTCAAATGAGTGGCAGAGAGTAGGGCCACAGTCAGAACGGACCAGCAGTGATGACGGCTGGCTGGAACCTTCTTGGGGAAAGCCATGGCTCCGCAGGAGGGTTGGGGCTTGGCCAAACTAAAGGCAGCATCAGGGCATTCTCAACCAAGGAGGGTGGCACAGGGAAGAAACCAGTTTGCCCGGAGTGGGGGATGAAGGCCTACAGGTAGAGGCAGCTCAGACTGTAGAAGAGACTGAAGTGTGGGATAGACAGGTGCAGGAAACAGTAACCAGGGCGCAGAATGAAGAGGGCCTGGGTCAGCTGGCTGGCTGAGAGAAGGAGGAGAGGTGACCTGGAGTCCCTATAGGCCTGCCTGATAAGATGCAGAAAGAGGGACAAATGCAAGCCACTTCAGCAGGAGGGCAATGAGCACTCTCCTGTAGCTGCCTCACTACTAATGTGCAAGTTAATGGGAAATGGCCTCATCCGGTTTGAGAACGCATCTTAAATCCAGCTCTCAAATCCTGCAATGTTCTTTTGTTTAGCAAACCCCCCATAAACTAGAAAACACAGATTTCCAAACAGAGTACGCATTAATGAAGTCTTCAAAAGAATACAGAAAACTGATGCAAGAGTGTACACACAGCTTAAAGCTCAAGCAATAATTTCTTTTTTGTGTTCCAACAGCAAGTGACCAAACGACCACAGATTCCCACCTTCTTTCATGATCTATTTGATTCTTGGAGTCCTAAGGAAGAATTTCAGAAAGGTCTTCGAACAAATGCAAAATGCACAGACTTCACCTAACAGTTGTTTACTGAACATTTCTAATTTCTGTGCCTGGCCTCGAGCTGAGTGCTGAGGGTCTCAAGACAAGCAAGACCAGGTCCCTGCCTCAGGTGCTTCAGCGCACAGACTGTGGTCATGGGGCAGTCACTTCTAAGGGGCTCCCGACTGGTGACCGCCTAATGAGTACCTGCTGGATGAATGAATGGGGTCCATCAAAGTAAGGATGGCCGCTACTGGCATCTGTGCTCCTTGTCTCAATGGCTAAGAAGATGCACTCAGATCTCCTTTGTCTTTGCTTTACTTGTGCTTCTCTGCATGAGATATCTGTAATCCTAGGGTAGGAAGGTCTGGCTCGGAGGTACATAACACCAGACAGAAAAGAATGCATCTTTTTTCCATTTCATTCAATGGTAAATTATTTTTAATATTTTTATATAAATGATATATATTTTAATATATAACATTTACATAAATGATATATATTTTAATATATAACATTTTATATAAATGTTATATATTTTAATATAAAAATAATTTATATTAAAATAGGCCCTAAAACAGAACATGAAACTGAATCAAATTTTGAAAATAAAATTAAAAAAAAAAAAATAAAATCCAAGATTTAAAGGAAATGTCATATTTGCCTGAGGCCACTTTGGGCCATATACCCTCATCCTAGGGCCGAAGCTTCATTCTCCAGCTCAGGAGAGTCCTTCAGTGCTGAGCTGGGAAGGGATTTCTCATCTAGATATTTTCTGGCTACCACCATATAGGTTCTCCCTCAGTGCTTTCCTCAGACTCTAATATTTAACAATGAAACCTAAAGTGGAGGAATCCCACTAAAATCCTAAAGCATAGGAAACCAGCTCAACTGCAGAAATCCAAGTATTCTGGATGGCATGTATTATTAGCTTTTCTGTGCTGAGGTAGGTAAATCCCCAAATCTGAGCTCCTCAGTGTTGCCAGTATTTTAATTAAATAATCATCCTGGGCTGTTAAGTCAAATCTCAAATTACCAAGGAGTATCTAGTGGTTAAAATTAACTAGCAATTCTAGCCAAACTATTCTCTCAGCTTCCATTTGATTTTGTACCCAGCACAGTAGGAAAAGCTTTGCTGCAGGATGAAAGGTTGCTCACCAACAGGATCCCCCATCTGTAGAGAATCTGAGTCTTGAAGGGAAGATGTTTAGACTCTCCCAATTACTAGTATAGGAGCAGAGAGAACACCTGAATCCAGTGCCTTCGTACCTAACTTAGACTTTCCGACGAGATGCTGTGCTTGTTTGAGTGCTGTGGGACTCCAGTGAAGCTGGCTGTACAGGGCTCTCCAGCTAGTAGTGTTTGCAGAACCCTGCCTCTATGTGTACTGAAGATCTAAACCATGTCTCAGTGTTTTGGCTTCTGCATTTCTTGAGAAAATCATCTTCAACTATGGCATTCTGTCTACAGATGAATTCAGTGTGTGTGTGTGTGTGTGTGTGTGTGTGTGTGCGTGTGTGCGTGTGTGTGTGTGCGTGTGTGCGTGTGTGTGTGTGTGTGTTTAGGGAGGTGGCTTTGGGGGAGGCTGTGGGTTCACCGAGCGTCTGTCAGTAGCATCTGTCACTCTGGGTCTGAGACTTCCCTCTGTGCTTCCCTAGCTCTCCTTGCTGCTGGCATGTCGCATACCAATGTCATTAGGCACTGTCTGCCCTGGTCCTCCTGCAATCCAGCCAGGGCAGTTCCCGTCACAGCAAGCGCTTCCTCTGTCAGAGCAGACAAACTGACTGAAGCCACAGCCGGAAGCAGGCTGACCACAAGTGCTAAAGTTCTGGTTAGTTCTTTTCTAGGTAAAGTTGGAAAAGTCCCTGCAAAGGCAAACATTGAAGTTTTAGACACGGGGGCGGTACTGACCTCTTGAAATGTCCTTGACTGGAAAGAAGGAGGGTGTGTGTGTGTGTGTGTGTGTGTGTGATGGAGAGACAGAGAGGAGGAGGAGAGGAAGTTGGATTGTATGATGCAAATGCTAATCATTCTGAGAAGAGGTTTTTTTTCTTCTTCCCAGGTTCAACTGAAGAAGCTGTTCTAAGAAAGATGACTGAGGTAATCAGTCACCTTCCTCAGAGAAAGTCCACTCAGGTTAGAATTTTATTTACTATGTAAACAATGGAACATTTATTGCCGAATCCCTTGTTCCTTTATAGCCAGGCTAGAGAATTTAGATTTCTTGGTGGGGGTCATGAGGGTAAAAAAATGGTCATGGGAGAGAAGATGGGTCCTGGATAAAGAGTCCAGTGGCTTCTCTATCCTTCACAGCCCCCTGAGGAGAATCAAAAAGGTAAAGACTATCCCTTTAACTCAGATGGCGAGTGTGTTTCTCTTTATTTTACCAAGCAGGATGACAAACCGGGTTTTCCCAGAAAGCCTGGGGATGTGCAGGGGATAGGAGTGACTAGAGAAGGGACGAGGGCAGGGGCGATCTGAAGATCATCCTTAACTTTCCAAAAGCAAGAATATAGGACACTTGGTAAACTTTAAATTACTTGCCCCTTTTATGGATGGGGACAAGGTTATTTTTACTGAAGAGAACTAAAATAATTCACTTAAGAGCTCACTTTTGTAAGATCACAGCAAAAAACAAAACCCAGAATCTGTTTGTTGCTTTAGGTGACAAATGGTGATAATGATCTCTATGCTCAGTTAGTTTAGAATTGCTCTTTATAACAAATATTATATGCTAAAAACAAGTACACTAAAAAATGGATCCCAACTATGAACACGGTAAAGAGATCAGGGGTTGGGGAGAGGGAGGGATGAGGTGGAGCACAGAGGATTTTTAGAATGGTTAAACTACTATTTGCTGCTGTAATGGTGGATACATGTCATTATACATTTGTTAAAACCTATAGAAGGTGTAACACCACAAGTGAACCCCAAAGGAAACTCTGATCTATAGTTAATAGTAATCTGTCTATTGGTTCATCAACTGAAACAAATATACCAGAGTAAAAAATGTTAATAACAGGGGAAATTGTATATATGTGTGTGGGGGGGGGGTTCAGGCAAGGAGGGATTAGTATATGGGACCTCTGTGTTTTCTGCTGTTTTCATGTAAACCTAAAACTACTTTAAAAAATAAACTTCATTAAAAACAATGGCTCCCAAACCTGGAATTTGTTGACCAGTCCCAAATCCAAGGATCTACTTCCCTCAGTTCCAAAGTACAGTGAACTCAAACCACATGCAGCATCCCTGCACTTTACAGGTGCCTTTCTACAACAGCCTGGTGACATTAGTTTGTAGGCAGGAAAAGGGATGGCCTGAATCAGGAGCTAAGGGCTTCGGGTCACAACGCCCCAGTGCTACAGGACAGCGTGCCAGGGAAGATGTCAGTTCACCAACCGGGGTCTCTGTTTCTGATTTTTGAGAAAGAGATCATGGGCTGCCACCACGGAGCTATCATAAGGGTCAAATGGTTGTGAGAAAGTATCCTAGAAGCTGGAAAGCATTATGCAAAAGAATTATAAACCAATGTCATCAGCCTAAGGTCACAAAGCTAGTCTAGTGTCTGCCCCAGGATCCAGACACTGACTGCAAGTGTAGTGCTTGACTTCCATGCCGGTTAGTTCCTTCCTTTCTATGGGATTCCATGTTAGAGAGATTTCTCTTTGACCAGTGCAGCCGCGTGAAGGTCACCCACAGTGCCCCCAACTTTAGGGGTGGGGTGGGGCTCTGCTCTTGAGCTCCGAATGACATTCCCCAACAGGCCACATTATATAATCGTCAGCTGGGCTGGAATGACCACTTACCCTTCCCAGACTCAGTTAATAGTTGTTCTTGGATGATACAGTGTAACAAAGATGGGCCCTTGCCAGTAGAGAGAACCGCACCCATTTCTGATGAAATCCCTAAGAAAAGCCAGCTGCAGAATCACTATTTTCAGTCATTCTAGGCCCTCAGGTGAAGTGATTTATGGGCTCCCTTGAGACTAAGAAAGCAGTGCCTGCCATGCAGAGCGGCATGGCTGGGTCCTGGGCACCCGGGGCTGCTAGGCAGAGGAGGCCAGAGGTCTCAGAAGAGGAAAGGTGGGGCTGGCAGCCACTCGCAGAGCGAGGCAGGGTTGGCCCAGTGGAGACTCCCAATAAAGAACAATTAGGGTAACTTGCCCTTCTCTCGAGCCGGTTCATGACATTTTGCTTACACAACTTCCCCTGCATTTTCAGTTAGCTAAGAAATCTACCAGAATGTTCCCAGAGGTTAGGTATGGGATGTTAGCAATTTCTTTTGGTTTTCCTCTATTCTTTTCTGGATTTCATGACTTTTCAACTTTGATCTCTTAGTACCTTTAAGACAGTAAATGGTTCTTATTTTTCGGTAAGCCTGCTTAAACAGCTTTCCAAATTTCTTTGCTGTTTTTGCAGGAAAAGATACTTGGCATTTACCTTTGAACCTACAAACACACACACACCCGTAAGCCTCACTCCTAAGCTGCTTCACATATGACAGTGTTCCGCCAAACAGTGTTTCTCAGTCTGTGGGTTTCTATGCTGGCAAACTCTTGACTCAGTGGTTTTACTGAAGGTCAGCCCTGCCTAGATAGACTCAAAGAAGAGAGGAGAAAGTCCTCTCTCTTACTGCTCACAGACTCCAGCCAGAGCTGGGGGCCAAGTCACCAGCACCGCCACCACCGTAGGAGTAGCTTGGAAGAAAGGTGCCCCGCAGCTTGAGTTCTTCAGGGTCAAATGAGATCATCAGCTGTTCCTCAGTCCTTTCCAAATTCCCTGTTTTGTGCACCTGCCCCAAGCACTCTGACCCTGAAGACCTACTTGAGTTTTCCCATAGGTCTCCCTCCACTCTCCCTCCTGACATCTACATCCGCGCTCTTGACAAAGACCCCCTTTAGTAGTTCACAAACTCCCACCAGCACTTTGTGAGTTGCTTCACTGACAGGTAACGCTAAAGATGGTGTAAGATACCCTGTGGTTCAACTTTTCTTTATAGGTGGTCACACCAAGGCCCTGAAAAGAAGTGGGTTTGTGAAAGGAGAAGCTGAGAGCCTTGTCCACCTGTGTAACCCGCACACGCACAGGACTGCACCTAAATACCAGTAGCTTTTCATTCCCACATTGCTTAGCAACACGCTCACAGGCCTCGTTACCAAGAGGCATCTCGGACTCCTGAGCGTAGGTACGGTTGGTCCTTGAACATCATGGGGGTTCAGAGGCACTGACTCCCGCACAGCAAAAATCTGCAGAGAGCTTGTGACTCCCCAAAAACTTAACAATAGCCTACAGCTGATGGGAGTCAATAGTCAACATATCTTCTATGTTCTATGCATTGCATACCGTGTTCTTATAATCAGGTAAGCTGTATCAGTTATGGTCAGTGTTTAGATTCTGGAGTAACAAAGGAGTTTTTGT